TGGTGTATTTATATAGTGGAATCCGGGAACACACAAGAATATAGATAAATCACAGATATTGTGTTGCATTACAGAAGCCAGATACAAAAGCGTGTATACTGCATAGTTCCATTTACATGATGTCCAAGGACAGCACAAACTTGTCCATCTTTATAGAAGTCAAAACAATGGTTACTTCTAAGGGGAGAGCAGTAGACTAGAATGTGTATGAGGGAACCTTATAAGGTGCTGCAATGTTCTATGTCTTGGTCTGGGTAGTGGTTACACGGGTGGGTACATTTCTAAAAATTCATCAAGTTGAGATTTAAAATTGGTGTGCATTACTTCAAGTGTGTTGTCACTCAAAAAATTCTAAGAAAAAAATAGAGCCTTTTGAGTTTGTAAAATGTGATATTTGGCATTAAAAGTCTTCTTAACCTATCCTTTTTTAATTTGCCTGAAAACAAATATATGTTTCTCTCTCAACTTTAGAAGATACAGAAACTGAACAGTAAGAGTAAGTCATGCACATTCTCACTATTTAGAGAAAATCATTATTGACTTTAGAGATATATCTTTTCATTCTCTTTTAATAAAATCAAAATCTGATTATAGAGTACCAATTGTTTAGTTACTAATTTTTTTTACCTATTGTGAACATTTTTTATGTCAGTAAGTATTCTCTGGCAACACCGTTTTTCATGATGGCGTAATGCACCAACATGTTCCTTCACTCTAAGTTACTTAACTTATGATAGTCGTTGTGATGAAACCGTCATAACCATCATTGACAGTCACTATGGTATTTTCCACGTTCTGACATCATAATTCTGTCTGGGACAAATATCCTTTTAGTGATCTTTACATATATCTGGGATTATTTCCTTAGGATGGATTCCTAAAAGTCAGTTCTTGAAGTTTGCAAAAATGCTGAGGTTTTTTTTTAAGAGGCAAACATTTTTATTATTTTTGATGTGTATTCCAAATTGTTTTCCAAAAAATTTGTATTCACTTACACTACCAGCAATGATGTGTGCTGTTTTACTTTTCATTATTTAAAATCTCAAACATACAAAATTAAGACAGTAGTATGACCGCTCCCATATCTTTAATCATCATCGTTTTGCTGATCTCATTTAATCCACATCCCCCCGCCCCCTCCAGTATACACCATTTTTTCTTTCCTGGTATAATTTAAAGTAAATTGTAGATGCTACAGCTTTTCATCCATAAATACTTTAGTGTGTATCTCCAGTAGATAAGGACAAAAACAAAAAACAAATGAACATCACACATGCAACTAAATATAACAACAATCCACTCAATTTTGCCAAATTAAAAAAATTTTCTTTAAGTGTGGCTCATTGGAAGCAAGATCCAAACCAACATTTCATTTGATTGATCCATCTCTTAACTCTCTTTTAATCTCTAACAATTGCCTCCTCTCTCTTTTCCCCCAAATTGCACTTATTTGTAGACCCTGGCTTGGTCCTATAGTGGGTACCGCATTCCTCATTTGACTCCCTGCATCCCTGAGGTGTCCTTAATATGCTCCTCCCTGTTCCTAATCTCACCAGGTGGCAGATGGCACAGGTCTCACTACACTAGTTCAGTTAAAGTGGCTAAGCTCTTGAAATGACTTTTTAAATGTCCCCTGGAAAGATAGTGAGTATTTAAAGAATCTAAACCATTCTTAAGGACCCAATTAAACGTCAAGGTAAGTGGTTGTTAAAATCTTGAGTAGTTAGGGCAGTAAAAATAAAACTCTGTTATCTTCATCTGCTGAATTCCCCTACAGGCCAGTAAGAGATAAAATATAAAGGTGGTACGAAGTCTTTAAGACATAAGCCAAAGTGGAGTGGGAAAGATATTTCATTTACTTAGTGAATTTTCTGGCTCTGTGCCCACCTAGGTCCTTTGGGCAAACAGAAGAATTATTGTAATACAGGTAGCTCTCAGTTGAACACCACCTGCAAGGCAATCTCTGTTTTATTTAGTCTGTTGAAGAGGAAAGACTTTTCATCTACCTCTTACATTCACTGTTTGGAGATCTGCAAATTAAACTGACAAAAGATTAGCAAGAGAGAAGACAGATTTTTTATTCACGTATGTATGCAAGAGTTCACAGAAAACATGACTCAAGGAGATGGTTAGAATTTAGGCCTTATAAATCATCTTAACAGAGGAAGGGAGGAGGAGAAGGGCACTAGGATAGATGGGAGATATGGTCGTTTTGTGACAATGTCTGTTTGGATTATTTCCTATCCCCGTGTCAATTTCTTGTCTCTGGTGATGCGAGTCAATCTTCCCTGTTTGTGAAACTCCTGGGGAGGAGATTTGCGACAGCTGAATTCTTTTGGGAGGCTCTGATTTTTGGCAGATAAAGAGGGTTCAGAAAAAAAGACTCTTCACAGTGGTATATTCTGGATCCCTTCATTGGCCCCCTCTGAGGCTTCTCTAGAAGTTTTACAGACAAGTTGCCTTGTTATCTTATTGACCCATATCCCACTGAACTAGTCTCTTGGTCCAGGGAATAGGTTAGCCCAGTTATAAGTGTCTCACTTCAGGAGATGGTGGCACAGGTAGACGTAGGGTGCCACTGAGGTTAGGCCTTTGTATGGTGCAAGGAATCAGGCATTTAATTCTAGGGAAACAAAAGAAAAACAAAGATTAGTGGTTGGAGCAAATTATAAACCCAGTTGCTGGCTTGTTTTGTTTCGTTTTGTTTAGGGAGTCCACAGCGCAATCAGTCAAAAAGATTTCTAGACGTTGAGCTTGAAATGTCTTTAGGTGGTGGAGCAAGGATGATAGTGGCAGTGTTGATTGTGGTTATTCCCCAGAGAGGAATTTGGAAGAGGCAGGTGTTCTGGTGAACTTTCTGAGTGGCCCACACTGTTGTGATAAACCACACAACTTTGAAGTTATACCAAGTCATCTAACTTCAATTTGCAGGGCTTTGGGGAAAGGACATTTTCAGTTCTCAGTGATGACAAGTCAGGAGGGTAAGAAAAACTGGAAGCATCAATTACTGACAAAATGCATAAAATGGCAGGGTCCAGTTTGTGATGAAGTGAAAAGAGCTCAAAGACAATGAGCAGAACTAGAATCTGATACCCAGAAGGGTGGATTATTTTTCACTGAAACATAAAATTTCCTTCTACAATCATCTCCATTTTGAACAAAGATAATCAAAGTGAGATTACTCTTGTTTACAAAATCAGTCTAGTCTCATTAAATTTGGCCTGCTCATTTGTATGAGCACAGCAGAAATGGTAACCAACCACACAGGTGTTTTAAATTTTGCTTTGCTGTCACTTTGATAAGGGATGTTAGACTAGACTTTTAAAAGCCTCTCAAGGATAAGAAGCCAGGCCAAGAACTTGCCATCAGACTTTGCTTGCAGTACCTATAGATTTGAGTGAATTCTTCTCTTCTTGAGGTTCCAAACTATCCTAAGGTTCCTAGACCTGCCTGGAAGTGACTTTTCTTACTCACCAGGAAGGCTGGGAACCCTGTAATCCAAGTACCAGGCTGGGTTTTCTAAGAGGGCTTTGTAAACAATGGCCCCATAAAGTCAATCTTCATTCCTTAAAACTGTCTGGTAATATCTGATTCTCTGTACATCATTCTCGAACATGGCATTTCAGTCAAAGCCATGATAGTAAAACCAATATTTCTCATTATTTCCTGTTACAAGGAGAACAAATTGTTATTTACCTTATGCAAATAACTATGAAACATTGCCATGAAAACAAGAATACTCAATCTAAGAGTTTCCAAATTCTGGAGGGCTCAGGTAGGGAGAAAAAGATTAATGTTTCATTTCTGTTTACAAAAATATAACCTACTAATGGCTGTCAGTTAAAGATAGCTTCTTAAAAGAAAAGAGAAAGGGGTTCCTTATATCCAGAAATGGAACATTAAAGAACCAACAATGTTCCAAACAAAAAGACCATAAAAATTATAACCATTCTCCATCAGTTCATTCAATCCCATGTAGTTAATTCTTATTCTACTTGATCTTGAATTAACAGTTTCAAGAACCCATCAGCGTCTCCATTAGTTCTGGAAATCCTGACTCAGCCCTGTAGTATGATCTGACAATTCTTTAGGCAATGTCATCATAAGCATGTCTCCAAGAGTCCCTGTCATAGTCCCTTCCCTGGGTCTCTGAGATGGTCCCTTTTGTTGATGATGAAACACTTCGGCCTGTAGCGGATTGAAAGAACTTTCACGAATGCATCAGAGTAAAACAACAACTGCGTGTGAATGACAAAAGGCTTAAAATGGCTGTGGTTATAGATCTGGTGAGAGTTCATTATAACGCAATTGACATGGAAATTTGGTTGTCTCTGTGAATACAGCATTTTAAGATGATACCTGGAATTATGACTGGTAACATTATACCAGGATATATCATAGAAAAGAAGGACATTGACAGATTTCTAGAAGCATTAAATAATTTCTGAAATACTTATATTAGTAACAAATACCCACACAAATATAAGCTGAGGAAGGTTATGAGTCTCTTCTTGACAGTGTTTCCCATGCAACTTAGCCTATCAAACCTAATTAGCGTAACCTCTCTTTTTACAAGGTGAGAGAACAAATCCTTTGGGATTTTCCGGGGGCCCTCTGGAAAATCTCAAACTCAACTCAAGGTCAAGAAGATTTCACTTAGAATTTGCTTTTGGAAGATGTCAAAAATGTCAAAAAGTTTGAACACCTGATTAAATAAAGATCACAAGAAGACTTGGTTTTCTTAAATAATCAAAGACATGATAAGGACAGTAGAAAGCACAGGAAATTATTCTGATAAGACGCAGAATCTTTGTTTCAGAGGTGGATTCCTCAAAAGGTAAAGAAAAACCATTTACAATCTTTTATTAAGAGCAGACTGAAGATGCAAAAACCTGTCCTCTGAAGAGACAGAGCACCCAGTTTTGTTTTGTGTTGGTAAACTATTGATATTAAAAAGTCATTTAAAGACCTTATAATAAATGCATTCAGTCTCGGCCAGCTTCACACATTAATTAACCTTCAACTTAAAATGAGAAAAGACAGATTTTGATTCACAGACATATGCAAGAGTTCACAGGAAAATGTGACTCAAAGAAGTGTTTAGAATTTTGAGCTTATATTTGTCAGGGTTCTTTAGGGAAACAGAATTGATAGAATATACATATATTCCATATATGTATATATATGATTTGTTTTATATATATCATATAAAGGAGATATACATACATATATATATATATATGTACAGAAAGAGATGTATTATGAGGAATTGGCTCAAGCAATTATGGAGGCTGAGGAATCCCACAACTTCTCTGCAAGGTGGAGACTCAGGAAAACCAGGGGTGTAATTCTGTCTGAGTCCTAAGGCCTGGAAACCAGGGGAGCTGATGTATAAGACCCAACCTGAGGGCAGGGGAAGACCAATTTCCCAGCTCAACAGCCAGGCAGACGACGGGGCAAATTCTCCCTTCCTCGTCTTTTCTTCTGTTCAGGCCTTCGGTGAATTGGGTGATGCCTGCTCATGTTGGGAGGGGCGATCTGCTTTCCTGAGTCCATGCATTCAGATGCCAATCTCAGCTGGAAACACCCTCACAGACACACCCAGAAATAACGTTTAGCCAAATATCTGGGCACCCCATGATCTAGTCAAGTTGATAGCTAGAATCAACCATCACGGGGCTTATATACCATCTTAACAGAGGAAGAGGAGGAGGGAAGGGCATTTATGGGAAAATAAATGACTTTTAGGAAAGATAAGTGGGCCCTTAGGAGAACAGATGGGAGATATGAGAGTTTTGTGACGATGTCTGTTGAGGTGACCTCTTAACCTGCTGCCACTGTCTCATCTCTGGTGATAGAAGCCAGCCTTTCCCGTTTGCAAGACTCCCAGAGAGGGCATTTGTGACAGGTGAATTCTTTTGGGAAGCTCTTCTTTCAGGCAGATAAGGGGAGTTCAGAAAGAAAGACTCATCATGGTGCAATATTCTGGATTCCTTCACGCTACAACATTTTGCTCCATGTACCCTTACGTGACAACGTAGCAAAGGTTATTTTTCTCATTTTACAGATTGGGAAACTGAGGCTTGGCAGGATGAAGGAATTTGAACAAGGTCACACAGCTAGGAAGTGGGGAACTGGGCGTCACTCCTACCTCAGGGGACTCTGCAGCTTTGTCTTCCTATTACGTTGTGTTTTGAAATAAAAATCACTCACCAAAAGCCCTTAGTTTGGTTTTTAGCATCAGGTCTACTTATTATTTAGGTCCTTTGATTTTACTTCCCCCCTGGAATTGGAGGTAAAAGGGGAAGAACACACAGAAATCAATAATAATAATAATTTCACGAGGATTATCAAAAATAGCAACAATATTATGCAAAATTCTTGTGAATGCCAACATCAGCATATTTACCGCATCTCCTGCCAAAAACACTATCCTGCACAGCAAAACAAAGACACAAGCAGCCCAAGCAGCAAAAATCACAGGCTTGCCTCAGCTGCAGCTGGAGAAGTTGCCAGTTGTCCTCTGTGTGACTTCGGCATCTGGGGGGTGGAGAGAGCAGGGGTTGGTATGTCCTCTGGCATGAAATGGGCCTGGGCCCGAGACCCAGCTCCTCTGCTGTGTAACCCGAGTGATTCTCTGAACCCTCATACCTGATCCATTACTGATCCTCAGTCCATTATGTCCTCAGGACCTTGTCAACTCATCCATCTCCCTCTGTCTCCACTGCCCGCGCCCTCTTCAATCCACCACCGTCTCCTTCTGAAACACAGGGGTTTCCTAACTGGTCTTCCTGCTTTCCCTCTTGGTTTCTGTATTCGAGAGATTAGCTTTGGCTGGGAGTGGAAGAAAATCCAAAATAACATAGCTTAAACACAATTAAGAAGTTAATTTTTTCTCATATAAAAATCCAGGGAGCCCAGTGCACACCCATTAGAATATCTAAAACTTAAAAGACTCACAATACCAAGTATTGGCAAAAATGTCAAGCAACTGGCATTCTCATTCTCTGCTCATGGGAATATAAAATGCTACACTCACTTTGAACAACCGACTGATTCTCATATAGTTAAACATACGTCTGTCACACAGCCCAGCCATTCCTAGGTGTTTACCCAGAGAAATGAATCACATGTCTACACAAAGACTTGTACATAAATGCTCATAGCAGCCTTGTGAACAATAACCCCTAAAAAGTAAACAACCCAAATGTCCATCAACTGGTGAATGGATTAAACAAACTGTTGGAGCTCCAGTGGCGCAACCGGTTGGCGCACGGTCCTTATAAACAAACTGTCTACGTTCCTGATATAATGCACATTACATGTGCTACATTCATGAAATAGAATACTGCTCAGCAGTAAAAAGAACAAACTATTGATACAACAATATGGACGAACCTCAAAATAATTAACGCTGAACGAAAGAGGCTAGACACAAAAGAGTCCATGATTGCATTTATGTAAAGCTCTAGAAAATGAGAATTGTCATCACTGTAGTGACAGCACGCAGATCAGGAGGCCTCCTGCTGGGAGCAGAGGGAGAGTGAACTGCAGAAGGGCATGAAAATCTTTGGGGGGGTGACAGAAATGATATGACTCTTGGTTGTGTTGACAGGTAGTTACACGGATGTGTATGACTGTCAGGACACACCAAATTGTACACTTTAAACGGATGCAGTTGTCATTTCTTTTTCTATGTATATAAATTCTGCCTGAGTAAATTAAAAAGTTGACAGAGCTGTCCAGGGCTGGTAAATCTCTCCACGACGTCAGGAATCCAGGATCCTTTTTTCTGGTTGCTCCTCCATGCATGGCATCTTCCTCATGGCCCAAGATGGCAGCATCTGGTTTCCCGGATGCAGGACGGAGGAAGGGACAAAGAAGAGGGCAAAGAGCACAGCGACTTGCCTCTTAAAATATGGTCTCAGAAGCCCCTCCCACCTGAGGATTCTGCTTATCTGCCACGGGGGAAAACTTAGTCACATGGGCATACCGAGTTGCAAAGAGGGCTGGGAAACGTATCGTTATCCCAGATGGTGACATGTCCATCGAGGAAGGGCAAGATAGATATTGAGGGACAATTAGCAGACAATTTTTACACTGCCATTTGTCTCGTTTTCAAAATGTGTGTCTGATCATATTACCCTCTCTGCTTAAAGCTTTTCGGTGGCTTTCCAGAGCTCTCAGAATAAAGTCCGAATAGGCTCCTTGCTGTGGCCTCCTGGCCTGATCTCGCCCTGCCTGACGCCACCCGCGCTCTCCTGCCAGTGTGTCCCGCCTCGAGCTCCTTGGTGCACTGAGCACACCGGGCACACCGGGCACACCGAGCACACCGAGCACACCAGGTACCAGGTACGTCAGGCACACCGGGCACACCAAGCACACCACAGGGCCTTACCTCCCCACCTCCCTCCGCCTGGAGCGCTTTCCCTCCCTCTCCGCCCCGTCAACACTCCATCCTCGGCCTGGGCCATCGATCTCCGGGGTGGTTCTCGCTTCCTTCCCGGGCAGCGCTTCTCAGTTTCGACTCGTGTATATGTGTGACATGTGAGTCCATCTTTCTCACACACTGGACTGTAGGCCCCTTCTTGTCCATGCCTGTGTGCCGGGGTCTAACCCAGCACCCTACAAGGCGGGAGCTAAACACGCTTTTATGCCCGAGAGCGTGACGACGGCACGGTGCCCCGCGCTGCCGACTGCACCAGGTTGCTCAGGGATGGAGGCTCCGTGAGCGCTGCCCACACCGCAGCCCCTCGCCCTTCACCCCTGCGAGGCGGCGGCTTCGGAAGGCTGAACCGCATCCATCTGATCTTCTGTTCTGGCCTCCTCCCCGAATGTTCGTTCCAGTCCCGTCTATGCTTCGAGGGGACATCTTTCCACGAATACGTCCGCTTGGGTGGCAGGTGTGGGGGATGTGAAATGAATCCAGTTTGTGGCAACAAAGTCGCTGTTCATTAGCTCCCATTTCGGTGTGGGGGAAACTTGAATCATTGAGGGTGGAACAGAAGTGGCGTGCGGAGGACGGCAACGTGCTGCAAGGTGTTCACGGTGCTCGTTTAACCACGAGGCGGGCGCTGTCGATCTACTGGCGGGACACATTGTGCTCAAGCGCATGATATTTATTTGAATGCAGGTACAGCACGGTCTGCTTAAGTGGGAGCTCTGACAGGATAATTACAGGACATTAATAGATTCAGACGAACAGGTTCTCCAGAGCACAACTCATAGTTAGTCAGCCGTATATTAAGCAAAAGTGAAAACCACTTTTCTTTATAAATATTTTCTTATCCAGAGTTTCCTTGATTTACAAAGCTTTGCCATAGCTAAGCCAATTAGTGGGTCTTCTTATAATTTTGAAGTGGAAATACTCTGAGTCAATCTTGTGTAGACCTCCAAACATAGTCAAAGAAATAAATAGGAAACTTGAGAGTGTACGCAGAAGTGGAGGGAGGTGGTGGTGAGGATGTGGCAAGCGCTTCTTGGCAAGAGCGCCAGTCTAGAAACTTCTTCCTCTGGGTGCTAAATGAGGGGCCTCGGGCCCAGCGCATCCCAGGCGTGGCTCATTTTGTACCACCCTGGCCATTTCTGCATGTCTGATTACCAACCAGGCATTGCTTACTTAATGAGATCTGTTCTATTTTTCAAACTTAAATTTGCTTAGAAAGGCAAACTAAATTAACTGTAAAAGAAAATTCATAACGCCAGCTCTAGCAGGTCAAGAATTTTTCTGTTTTGCTCTTTGTTCTATCCCCTCAGGCCTAATAGAGTGCCTAGTAGGTACTCAATGGATGTTTGTCGAATGAATAAATGTCGTTATCATCAATAGAAAAGCAAGTATTCCTCTAAGATATGTTGTCAATATACAGCTACTACAAGCAATTAAAAATGTTATCTGCTCCCCACTTAGAATCTTCTCGCATGCCACCAGTGGTACACACCATGCCCCACACTTTTCCAGGCCACATGGCAATTGTGGCCTAGAAAATTGACATCATTTCATCATTGACTTACTGTCTTATTTCATCATTGAAATTATGAAATCATTATTATGAAATATTATATATGAAATTGTGAAATCGTCAATTATGAACTCATTTCATCATTGACTTACTGTCTTACTCACTACACAGGCAACTCCATTCTTGCTGGTTGTGTCCATCCCTGTCTTCCCCTGTCTTCCTGGCACCCAGGACAGTGGGGTGCACACACCAGGTATAAATACAACAATCTGTGGGTGAATGAATGACCTCATATAGTTCCTACAGCAACTCTAGGACGTAAACCGTTATCCCCATTGTCATATAGATGAAGAAGAAAGCACGGCACAGAGGCGTTGACTTACTTGCCCAAGGTTGCAGCGCTGGTAATGGAAGGAGCTGGGATGTGGACCCAGCAGTAAGTCAGGAGGAGTCCTGCGTTTTAGATCTGATCCTGGACTGTCGGATGTTCTCTGGTCCAGCCTGAGCCACCAAGCCTGTCAACTTTAGTTAGACCGATGAAGCAACAAGTTTTTTCAACCTTATCAAAGGATATTATGCTTTGTGTATTTTTTCACTTTTTTATCTCAATTCTTAGGATGGTTTTCCCTCACAACAGGTTTCAGGACGTGCTCATTTGTGATGGTCAACTTTATGCATGGACTTGACTGGCCACAGGTGCCCAGACATTTGGTCAAATGTGGTTCCGGGTGGGTCTGTGCGGGTGCTTTTTGGATGGGGTTGGCATTTGAACCCGTAGACTGAGTGGAGCAGATTGCCCTCCCCACTTGAAGGTCTGAATAGAACAAACAGGGCTGAGTCAGAGGAAACTCCCTCCCTGCCTGACTGCCTTTGCGCCGGGACGCTGGCCTCCTACCTTTGGACTCAGACGTGGCCTGGAACGACGCCATCGGCTCTCCCGGGTCTCCAGCTTGTCACCTGCAGATCTGAGCACTGCTCAGCTCCATAACTGCATAAACTCATTTCTCATCATCTGTGTAATAAGGAACATGCATATTCTATTCCTTCTGTTTCTATGGAGAACCCAGACTAACACACTCATTTATTCACCTTGCCTAAATTACCACACTAACCTCCTCTCTGAGCTCCCAGCCTCTAGGTTCTCCTCCTCGCAAGCCCATTGCACAGTTGCTGCTAGATTGTTCTGTATGGTACTCTTTACATCAAATATCCACCTTGTTACTTGCCTGTTCATAAATTTCCAGTGGTTGCCTGCAGCCGCAGGATAAAGCATGAAGACTTTGGCTTGTGTATAAATTAGGTTTGGGTTTGGTTGCATGTTAAAATAGACCCCAAATAACAGTGACTTAAACTGTATAATTTATTTCTCTTGTGTGTAACCATGCAGAGGTAGGATATCTGAGGCTGGTATAGTTATCAGAGAGCTTGGTTCCTTCCTTCCTCTGCCATCAGTCTTAGAATTGTGCCTCATGATCTAAGATGGCTGCTAAAACTCCAGCCATTGTGTCAACATTCCAGAATTTGCACATAAGACTTTCCCTTAAGTCCCATTGATCTTAGCTAAATTAGAACTTAGTCGCTCAGCTACCAGTAAAACTGAGAAGTAGAGTCCATTCTGGGCAAATAAATTAGATGTTTTGTTAAAAAATACGAAGGGGAGACATCTAGCAATCTCTACCATAGCCTGGCATTGAAGGCCTTTTTCAATCAAGTATCAGCTCAGCTCTCCAGCTTTCCTTCTCCTACTAGCTGTTCTGAACACTTTGTCCCCATCCAGTTCCCGTGCTCACTGTCCCCAACACACCCAGTACTCTGTCGCCGTCTCTGCGCTTATTCAGCCCTCTTGGAATGACTCTTGGTTTCACATCTAAGCCACACCTTTGCTTCCAGGGGACTGTCCCCAACTGCATGGATCCTGGTGATTTCTTCTGAAACGGACCTCTTCCAGCAGGGACCGTGGATCTGATGCATCCAGACTCCCCCTCTCCTGCTTCGGGCCACCCCGCTCTGATGCCCTGAACGGCGGGGACCTTTCTTTGTTAATCTCTTACACACTTGGTCTTGTCTGCCCCACGCCCCCCGACTTCCAGATTCCCTGAGGACAGGGGCCCCTTACTCAGTGAGTATTCACTGGCCTCCCTCACATCCCGTGCTGCCCCGAGGGGGAGTGAGCAGTGAATAAGACGTGGGCCTCTCCTCAAACTCCTACTGTCCCCAGGAGCCTGGTTGCAAAGCTTGCACACAGTAAGTGCTTCATACATTTCTATTGCTCTGTGGGCATTAAGAGCTGACATTTATTTGAATGGTTATTACTCATCTTCCTGATAGCATTTACTAATTACTGTGTGCCAGTACTATGCTAGCTTTTCACATGTGTCACTTCATTTCCTTCTTGTGACAGCGATGAGATAGTCACTAGTAATTTTCACAAATAAAAACGAGGCACAGAGAGCTTAGGTTTCTTGTTTAACGTCACACAGCTGGTAAGAGGTGGAGCCAGGAATTAATCCAGGCAGCTTGAATCCTGAAGGTCTTAGTCACTATGCTGAGAGGGTGACTGGAAAGTGAGGGTGGTCCCATGATGGCAAGATTTAGCAGCACCATTTAAAGTGGCCATCTCCTATCTGGACCTTGCCTGCCACCCTGGCCAGACAGGAAGCTTGCCTGGCTAGGATGCCCTTTCCCCACGGAGTGCGGCCGGGTGGGCACTGCTGGCCCACCGCTCCCGTCCGGGTCTGCACTGCCCGCTCTGTCCTCCAGGGGGTCGGGTCCCCCAAGGCGGTAAAACCAGCCCCCTCCCTCTGCATTTCGGGGGGCCGCAGGCTCTGGTCCCACCCTTTCTGCAGGACACGTGCAGGCTTGGTGGAGGCCGCGGTCCAGAGGCCCCGCTGGGTCAGGCCCACTGACTTGTTTCGTTGTGTCCAGCTCAGCTTTTAATGTTTTTTAAACTCATCGTCGGCATTTACAAATTAGAAGATGTCACACAAAATCTGGATTTTTGGCTTCTTTTGCAAAACTGGAAGATTTGGAAAGGCCGGTCTGTGTGCCCAGAGGCTCCGGCGGCCGCGTCCACGTGGAGCCTGTTGTCTGAACTGGCACCGTGTCCTCGTCCCTGCGACCCGGACACCTCCAGCCACACTCCTTTCTCAGCAGCCGAGGACAGATAGTAAAGTGCCCCCAAGTCCGCCCGTCCGTCAGGCCCCACTCTGCGTGCTGTGCTGTCACCGCCGCGGTCACCTCGGGGACAGGCGCTGCCACGGCCGCCGCGTGCAGGAGGAGGGGATGGCCAGCGGTGACAGTGGCGAGGGCTGGGCCTCACAGCGGCCACGGGTCCCTCCCAGTGGAGGCGCTGGGATCCACGCCACTGCCCTAGAGGGGGAGGGCCACAGGGGGACTGTGCCTGGCCCCCGCGTTGCCTCGTGTTGACACCCTGAAAACACAAGCCCACCCGCTGATTTCCCGCACAACAGCAGGCGAGTGGGGCGGGCTGCTCTCCCTTATTGCTTGAGCAAAGCTGCACCTGGCGCATAGGGCGCGGCAGGGGTGGTCGTGGCAGGGCCAGTGGCGCGGCCATCACGGAGCCAGCTGCGGGGGCCTGCGCGTCGGGCCGGCCCGGGGTGGGGAGAAGCCCTGACCCCACAAGGCGTGGGCTGGGCAAGGGTTTGCAAACAACTATTACGACAACCCCGCCGGCAGCTCCCACAGCAGGCCCGTGGGGGTCCTGGGCTCAGGGAGGATGGCAGAGCCCCTGCCAGGTGGCCCACTCCTGCCATCAGGCTCTGTCCGTCCACGCAAACACCTCTGTCCAGCTTGGCAGCTCTGAGCTCTGAACCAGCGGGAACCCTTTGACATGATCAGACAGAAGAGGAAAACTAAGGCCCAGCGAGGGCGGTACTTGCTCCGGTCACACAGGCAGTGAGGGTCAGGGCCAGGCTCAGGTCCCAGGTGAGGTGAGCGGTGGGCGGCCCCAGCACAGCTTTTGGCACAGCGGGGGTCCTTTCCCTCTGAGAGGCCAGGGAATCTGCTCTGGATTCTCTTCTGGGTCCTAAATGGGCTCTGCCCCAGCTCTGAACTCTGAGCAACCCTCTGCCAGGAGAGACAAGGGCAAGGTCATTGTTAACAAGTATTTATTCTTAGTAAAACCATGGTACATTTACAGTAAGTGACAACATTAATGTATAGTTACAGTATCATACAATATTACAGCAATAAAATAACGCCTGTCCCTTTGTACATCCTGCCCAAGCAGCTAGTCGAAACACATTTTCCAGGACTGCAAGCCCCCGGGCTTTTCAAGGTGACCCCCTCCCCTTGGAACAGAGGGAACTGATTATCCTGCTGAGCCTCTGTCCACCTGTCACTGAAGCGTTAGCCCGTGAACACCTGTGGTCCCTCTCCCCCCGCTTCACCCCAGGGAGGCGTGCGGGTGCAGGACCCGGTGCCAAGCTGGGCACGCAGGGCTGGGCCCCCAATGTGGAATCCAGGCGGTGAAAGGAGCCCGGCGCGCAGAGAGAGCCTCGGGGAGCTGAGCCTTCGTCCCCGGCTCCGAGGCGGAGGCAGGTTCAGGGGGGTGGCGGCCGTCTCAAGGCCCTCAGGCGACAAGGTCTCTGAAGCTGTCGCTTGAGCGCTTCTGCGCACTGGGCGCTGCGGGTGCAAAGATGGCCACACCTGCGGCCCGTTAGGGGACCCTAATGCCCCAGACCCGGGCTTGGGAGAGTGAGGAACACAGGCCGGAAGGGGGACCTCCAGGGCCGACGTGGACGAGGGGTCACAGGAGGCCACTAGCCGGGCGGGGCAGGTTCCCCTGCGAGCCTGTCTCCTGCTGCGTGACATGGAAAGGGAGCAGCTCCATGTGCTCGCTCTTGAGGCTGTCGTGAGGCCGTCACAGGACGCGGGGGCTGCAGGCGCGGGGGACCCTCCCCACGGGGCCACCCAGCTGTCCCAACCATGCAAGGCCAGAGCCAGTCCTCCGGCTCCAGGACGCGGAGGGAATCATCCAGGCTGAGGGCGGGCAGAGGAGGAGGAGGAAGGAAGAGACACCCGGATGGGAAGGCACCCGGGGTGGGCAGGCGACAGCTCGGGGACAGTCTGCTCAGTGGCCGCCGTGCACGCACCGTGGTCCCGGGTCCGCGTGTCCGTCGCCGCGCGAGGCCCTCGGTGGACCAGCCGCCGCTCACGGATGCAGATCTCTCGGGAGGATGCGACAGACCCCAGGCGGGTGGGGGGCGAGAGCTGAGGTGCCCCCAGCCCGCGGAGGCTCCCCCAAGGGAAGTCCAGGATGCCCAGCGCTGGGCCAGGCGCGGCCCACCAGCGCCAACCCGGAAACACGAAGCCGAGACCCGGGCAGGCGGGAGGGGTACCGCCCCGTGGGCACGAGGGGACTTTGACTGCAACACCCCATCCCTGGAGAAGCGGGGCCAGGCCTCCCAGGCCCGGAGGGCGCGCCCAGGGCGGGCGGGCGGAGCGGAGGGTGGCTCCCGAGTCCCGGGCGCTCTCGGCTCTGCATGCCCAATAAAACCGCCCTGAACGCGGAGCTCTCGGAAGACCAAGGGCGCTGCATGGGATTCTCAGGCGCCCTGCAGGCGGCCCAGGAACCTGGGGCTCCGCGCTGGCTCCCTCAGGAACTCTCAGCATCCTGACTCGGGACCCTTTGCCCACCGGTCTTGTGGCCCCATTACACACGGCCACACTGCAGAAAGGAATGGGAGAACACAAATTCATTAAAAAGAGAAAAGAAAGAAACCCTAGTTCAAAGTCGGTAAGGGAATAAAAAATGTAGAAAATGCAAAGTTCAGAATATGGAGCTACCTATGATTCTTGCTCCAGATTTAAATAACGTAATTGTTGTACTTACGAGTGGCAGGGAGTGTCTTTACTGCTTTACAGGCGGGACCTGTGTCATTTACTCTGAAACTGCAGCACAGACCACATGATATTAGGTATATTATGTGAAGTGACATCCCCAGGCAGCTCCCAGGGGTGGTCAGCAAGAGCGAGGTCGGAAGAGTCTCACCCCAGAAGGGCTTCCCTGTCTTTACCTCTGGGAGACGCCAGACGCTCTGCCAATAAGCAAACTGCATCAGAAATGAGTTTTCTCCTGTTGACAGCTGTGATGGGTGCTAGAGAGGGCACTCAGTTATTTTCAGTGAGTGCCATTCAGGTTTGTAGATTGGCCAAAATGTTTTATTATCGATACTCCATCCTTGTGTGAAAGTATATAAGAATTCAAGTCTTGGCACCTAAATGGCCCTCGATCTAACTGTTTGGAGAATTACTTGCTTGCCTGAGGCTGGCCACAACAGTCCCATAGTCCTGCCTCTGAAATACTGTTTCAGCTGCCTTGGGAGCCTTTCATGCAACAATTCTGAGCAGTAAAGACAGCGAGAAGGAACTTCAATGGAGCATGCAGCACAGGTCATAGGAACTACATATTCCTGCTCACTAATAAAAGTTTAGCAAAGGTTAGTAGTGTAAAGGAGGAAAAGCTTTTCCTCTGTCCTCTTAGATTCTGTATCTGGGGCCTGTGAATTAAACTGACAAAAAAGATTAACAGGAGAAAATTATTTTGTATGCCCATGGGAAGCCTCACAGAAAAGAAGTGAAAATTCCCCACAAGTGGTTAAGCCTGGGAGCTCGTATATCAATTTAACAAAGGGTAACAAATTGTGGAGAAGTGACAAGACAAAGGAAAGGGGGTTTGGGCTTCTAGCGGTCCACGGAAGATAAGGGCTGTTTAGGAAGGTTTCTTTTGCAGACTCCAGTCTCACCATAATTCCCTGACTCAGGCACTATTACTGCCTCCACTTAGCGCCGAGGAAACCGGCCTGGAGAGCTGGAGCCACTCATGCAAGGATGCAGCGTCAGGACATAAACTAGGTCATTTGATTAGAAAGCCTGTGCTCTTCCCACCATGCAGAAGTAAGTTTTATGAGTTTTTTTCTTGATTTTACAATATCGCATGCTCACAGAAAAATTGGAAAACACACGAATGTGGAACAGCCTGATTCCACTGCTCACAGCAAACCACATCCAGCCCTGGCGTGAGCCCTCCAGCTCATTTCTGTGCATATTTAGGTGAGATTGTGCGGTGCGCACAGTTTTATGTGCTGCTTACTTAACAAGTCATCAATAATTCTCCATGTCATTAACAATTCTGCATTACATCGTTTTTAAGGTGAACAGGATATTCCACCCCATGACTATGTCCTATCGCCTCTTCTTGGATGTTTAACTGCACTCTGACTTTTTGCTGCCATCAGTAGGAGATGGCGGCCTCGGAAGGTAATCTCTTGTTTACTTTTATACTATTTCTTCAGGGCAGATTCCTGGAAAGGAAATTTGTGGGACAAAGGGCAAGAAGGTTGAATGGACATTATGAGGCATTAAAATTGACCACAGTGTAGTCTGTGTCTGTAAATAGCAAGGTCAGCATGACTTTCTAAGACCCAGATTAAAAATCAAGACATTTGCGTGGACTTGCCGCCGGCCGTCAGTTTATTTCCAGCTACTTTTCTAAGCAGTAGGGGGCAGCACAAACAAATGCCGCTGGAGAGCCTCGTTGGCCATTGAATTTGACATTTTTGTAGCCTTTTATTTATTTATTTTTTTGCCAAACTTCCTTTGTTAAAATTTAGCCACAACAAAGTCATCAAATTTGCAGGCAAAGGCCAGAGAGGGAAATCTAGTTTACTTGAAAGATTTACGACTTTCAGGAATGTTCCGGAAGACTGATGCAGATGGCAAAGGCTGGAGGGAAAACAGGCTTTCCGGCTGGCCTTGCGCCGGAGGCTGGGAGGCAGGTCAGGGTGACAGCAGCGGAAGGAAGAGTGGTGTCAGCCGGTGGGACTGAGGGTGGCATTCCGGGACCAGCGAGAGGGCTGGAAGCAGGTTTGTCTTCCCAAACAGGATGGCGGAGGAAGGGGGGCGCGTGACGGCCGCCTGAGGCTGACTGTGCAACAGCAAGCCGAGGTCAACGACGCAGAGGGCGAGCGTTAATGAGTGACAGAGGAATCGGCCGTGGCCCCGGCCGGTGACAGGGCCCCTCTGCCTCAGCAGGGAGCGTGATTGTGGTGGCCCTGGGGCCAGGGTTGTCGACCTGAGGACTGGGCGCCCCGAGGAGTCGGCGCCGGTGAGGGCATCTCCAGGCAGCCTGAGGGACAGGATTTATGCAGAGTTCATGGGAAAAATAGACACATTTTTCTGGGGGAAGATCTATAGCTTTCAGGAGTCTCGGTACCCCGAAAGATTAGGAACAAGTGATCTGTGTATATTCCTCCATCTGCGGGATCAAAAAGGCACTCTCTCCCCCGAACTGTCCCATCTGCCCTGTCCCAAAGGCACCTCTTGCCCTACAAGCAGCAGAACACGGGCCAGGATGGCACAGCGGGGTGCCCCAGCCTACACATGTGTTGGGGGGGTGCTTGGCGGGAGGTGTGAGTGGGTGGGGTGACAGAGCCTGGAACCTCAGGGAGAAGCTCTGTGGCCCAGCAGAAATCTGGGAAGCGCCCAGGCAAATCTGTTAGGACAAGATTGCCGCTTGAGATCCACTCTCTTTTCTAGAAGTTTAATTCATCCCCCTGGAGCCTGGCGACACCCAGGGCTGGCCACAAGTGCTGCTAGAAGAGGCTGATTAGCCTGGAGGGGGCCTCACATTGGAGCCCTGTGGATCTCTTCATTATAGCCAGTTTCTTCTGAAGGATTTAAAAAGATGGATGCTTGTCACAAGCACTGTCCACAGTGGCAGAAACCTGGAAGCCATCCCATGTCACCACACTTCGCTTCTGACAGACGTGTGGGTTTCCCACACCTAGCCGTGCTTCAGGTCTCTGCGACACCACCTGGGTGTCCCACAGGTCAATTCCCTTTGACACTAATTACAGAGTTAGCCCGGACCCCGCAGGTTAGGGGCTCGATCCTCCACGACTGCTACCCTCACTTCAGATGCCGATCACGAATAGCGGGGTCCAAGGTTACCCAGGCTTCTGTCTGACTTGGCTACAAATTGGGTATTCCCACGACCCCCTCCTCAGCTCAATAATCTGCTCTAAGGGCTCACAGAACCCTGGGAAACACTTTACTTGCTATGACCAGTTTATTGTAAAGGATATTATAAAGGATACAAATGAGGAGCCAAGTGAAGAAAACAGGGCAAGATCTGGAAGGATCCTGAATGAGGAGGTTCCATCCCCGTGCAGTTTGGAGTGCACTGTCCTCCCAGCGTCTAGATGTGCTTACGAACCCACAAGCTCTCTGGACCTCTTTGTTTAGGGTTTTTACGGAGGTTCCACTATGTGGCACGATTGATTAAATCATTGGCAGCTGGTGACAGGACTCGATCTCCAGCCGTCCCCCACCCCTGGAGGCTGGGCGTGGGACTGAAAGTTCCGTCTGATCACTTGGCTGTTCCTCTGGCAGCCAGCACCCATCCTGAAGTCACTGAGGAGCCACCAGAGTCACCCCGTTGGCATAAACTCAGGTGTGGTTGGAAGGGGCTTATTATGAACAACAAAGACACTCATCTCATTCCTGCCACTCAGGAGATGCCAAGGGTTTGTGCCACACATATATTTATACACTTGTCTATATATACTTGTCTATATATATTCCTTATTATACCACAGTATTGCAAATAGTGAAACCATAGACTAAGGTGTAGTACCTCCGTATTAAGAAATAGCAGATAGCTTTTTAAAAGAACGTCTGATCTGCATGCAGTGACCTCAGCGGTGTCCGTGATATTTTCTGAAGTGAAAACCAGGTTGGAGTGTGGTGCATAGTGCAGAGGGACAAACGGATTCTGTTCAGGGCCAAATAGCAAAGGTTTTAGGCTCTGCCACCGTCCTGCAAAAAGCAGCCGCGGACCATCTGTGAACAAATGGGCGTGGCTGTGTTCCAATAAAACTTTATTTACAAAAGCAGGCCCGGGGGCCAGTAGTCTGCAGCCGTAGTTTGCTGACACTCGACATAGAGTGTGATGTTTTTGAAAGGAGCCTTTGTACACCGTGTATATGGCTGGTAAAGATGGGTTCCAAACTGTTAACGTTGGTTGCCTTGGGGAGAAAAAGAGTCGGGTGGGGGAGGGAGGTGGTTCACTTTTTCTTCATTCATTTCCGTTCTGTTTGATTTGCAATGAAACACATGTGTTGCTTGTGCAGTTTCTTTTTCCAGTTCTGAAAATGGCGTAATGAAGATGGGGAGCTCTCAGCTGTGGAGGAGGGCCTTTGCCTGGAGAGCGGGAAAGTTCTGACTGGAGTTAAGGAGGTCTGAGTTGGCTACAAGCTCCAGAGAAACCCGCAATTGCTAAGAACCTGACCCAGTCTGAGACAATGATAATGAAAGTATGACTTTATGATAAATAGAAGGGACGGCTCCATTGTTCTTTGCACCAGTCAAGCCACACCCGGATTCCTCTTCTGAATTTGGGGTCTGGGTTGTAGGGCAGACATGGCCAGAGTAGATTAGTGCTGAAGACAGAGCCTGGGAAGGCAAAGGGCATGGAAGTTCCATCAAGAGGAGCAGAGCACACTTGGCCTGAAGAGGAGAGGGTGAGTGTGGGGCGCGACAGCTGCCCTCACATAGCGGAGGGGAGAGAGGAAGCGCCACCCAAGCTCCAGAGTCTGTGCCTGAACCACAGCGACCCTTCTTCTGTCCTGGAGCAGAGGCTGGCCCGGCCGCCAGGGGTACTGGAGGGGATGAGATCAGCTGGAGGATCTCTACGGGACGCTTTTCTCAAATACTCCAGAAGGAGTGGTCTCCGTAGGACTCGGAAGGCAGATGCTATGGCGGCTCGGGGCCTGAACGTTGGGGTGGGCAGACGTGGGTTTGCAGCTGGGCCTGCCGGTTAAGAGCCAGCAACCTTGGGCGAAGTTTCTGTACCTCTCTAAGCCTCCATTCTTCCTCCGTAAGGGAGAAAAATAGAATAATAATAATAATATCG